ATGATTATGCTATCTAATGAGCAGGTCACAAAGGGTTGTACAACTACATTTCAGGAACATTTCAGTATGTTCTACAATACTATTACGAAATATTTCCTGTACTCATTGGGTGCAATTTTGGATAAATGGGTGTGGTCTTATGTTGCATAGTTTGGGTGGGGCTGGTATTTGGCAAGAATGGCATCTAAAAGTGAGGGCCACTATTCTCTTCTCTTTGTATCTCTGTCATTCATTCTTTGTCTCTCTTACTCTCTCACTTACTTTACTTCTCTGTATTCTGTCCTTATTCTAACTCATCACTATATTACTGTTACTCGATCTGTTACTGGTATACACCTCTTGTTCTCTATAGACTATCAACCAGTGGAGAGAAGTAGTCATTCCACAGTAAAGGTAGGAGACTACCTATATATGTGGGGTGGGTTTGGGTTTGCAGTACACTATGATGTGATGGAGGTGTATCACTTAGCAACTGGTGCTTGGGCAGTGGCGTATCCAAGGTAGGGCATGGTAGGGCATTTGCCCTACCAACTGCTCCTGAATCAAAATTAATATTGCCTTCTAATTTACTGTAGTTAAAAATTTAAGATATCTCCAATCTTGATCAAGGCCAGAGAACACAATAAATAAAGAAAACACTCAAAAAGAACTTTAGAGAAGAAAAGAGCAAGCCGAGCTAGTCCGATATAGTCGACTTCATCATCATTATTGTGGGCGTAGACGTACTTTAATTAAAGACACGCCCATTGTGAATATTAATTAACCACAAAAATTTTTTCGGCGCGCTTCGCGCGCCATTTTTGCCCCACCATCATCTACAGTCTAGATACGCCACTGTGCTTGGGAACAGAAACCTACTACTGGTACCCCACCACCAGGTACCAGTGGGTATTCATCTGTCGCTATTGGGAAGGACATATATTTTTTTGGTGGACTTGGTGGTGGTTATCAAAACAGCTTACATTGTTTCAATGTGGATTCATTCAAGTGGAGGGAACTCTCTCCTTCTAGTTCTGATCATGGTCCAATGAAGAAGGGCTACTGTGGAATCGTGTTAGCTCATTTTGACAGTGAAGACTACCTTGTAATAATCGGAGGACTGGGATCATCTTCTATCAATACTCCAAAGCAATCTGATGCTCAGTATTCAGCTCATGGTGGTTGTAATGAGATTGATTATTATAGGATTTCATCAGGTCAGTAATCCTCATCATTGATACACAATAGTTGATGAGTATTTCAAATTGAATAGTTTATATTAATGTACATAAAACAGATTGTTAATAATTAATTGTGTTTGTTAGTGTGTCTCTGTGTGCATGTCATGTGTTTGTGTGTGATGGTGACGTTGTGTGATGTTTGTATAAGCTAATGTGACATGAGTGTGTGTGTGTGTGTGTATCATGTGATAGTGATGTGTGTCTATGCATGATGTGTGTGTATAAATGATAATGTGCACACATATACACATACATATGTATGATGAATGTGTATAATTTATGTGTGTGTATGTGGTAAGTAAGTGTACATGAATGTTTGTACATTATTATTAGATCAATGGATATCTCCTGTTGTTACTGGAGACAGACCACCTCCTATTAGTTCCTTCACTCTAACACCAGTTACTAATAACACTGCAGTAATGTTCGGAGGCAATACTGATAATGGAGAGAGTAGTAAACTGTATATGATAAGTTTCACTAAGACATCAGTGGTGAGTTAATACTGTAGGATGGGTTTAATGAGATTGTTTTGATATTGCAAATTGTCAATTTTAATTAAATTGCAATTGAAAGAATTATATTTTGTGAAAACTGAATTGATGTGGCTTGATATGTACATTCAAATTGCAGTCAACAAAATGTAATGTTGATTATTTTGCCACTATCACCATCTTTTAAATGCACTATCTAATGTAAAAAATTAACTATTTTTATACATTGATTTTAATATTGTCTCAGGATATATTAGAAGTACCTAATCCTGGAGGATCAGTACAATGGCCTAAGGGAAGATGGGGTCATTCCAGTGTACTGATTACTACTAGTTCAGGACCACACTTACTAGTGGTGGGTGGACGTTATGCCTATGATGTATGGCTACTGGACATTAACAAAAGAAAATGGAAAGAACTGGTAAGTATTATATTATGATGCTTGATAATGAAACATAGTGATTACTGTATTTCATTGAACAAGGGCCTAGGCATTTATTGCTTAACAGAGGCAAAAATCTCGAAAAAAATTTAAAAATTTCTAAAAAACCAGGCTCAAACCCGCGACTCAGTAGGACCACTCTAAGCACAAGGGCACATAATGCTGGGTCAAATATGCATATCTATAGTGGTAATATATTAGCAAGAGTAAATAATACCTACAGTATTTATTTTTTAGAGTACTATTTAGTCTTGATATTAGTGATAGGGACTTACTTGAGTAAGGCCCCTATTTGAGGAAATACAGTAACTGAATTTGTAACTCATGAGGTTTGTAATGTACATGTCCATATTATGATGCTCAGTGAAAACTACTGATGAATAATGCTGGTAGTCAGTATGTGTGTGTGTGTGTCTGTTTTTAGTGTGAATGTGTGTTTGTGTCTTTTTGTGTTTTGTGTTTGTTTCTTTACCTAAATATGTGTGAATATACATGTGTCTGTGTGTGTGTGTGTAAAGATGGATTCACAATTGATAGAGTGTCAATGTTGGAATTAAAATAAATTGTATTTTATATACATTGTGTACATTGTGTATGTACATACATGTATTTGTGTGTATGTGTGCATATGTTTTAATATGTGTATGTGTGTACTAACACGTACATCATGTGTACATGTAACATGTACATGTGTGTGTATGTGTGTGAGCAATTATGCATGCTTTACATGTAGCTTTATATGTCTATGCATGTATAGATGTACATGTATGTGTGTTAGTGTGTCATTAGTATGTGTATGTGTATGTGTGTACATGCAGACACTTAGTAAGTTCTTAATTGAGGACTCACATGATATAATAACATACTCAGTTGTGTATACTTGTCTATTATATTGTGTATTATTAATTTCTTATGTCATCTTTGTGTTACATAAAACACACTGTGCAGACTATAAAACTGTGAGTTAGTTATTGTGTTTATTAACCAGATATCAGATCAATTAATATGTCATACACAAATTAATTATTATCATTTTAATTTTATAGATTAATCTACCAGTCAATGTACCTGAGAGATTCTGGCATTCTCTCTCAGTGTGGAGTGTGACCCCAACTACTAACTGGATAATTGAGTTTGGAGGAAGAAGAAATAATTACACATCATACACTGATACAGCAGCTATTGAACTCAGTACGTACATGTATAGACAGTAGTAGATACAATGTGTAATGAATATGTAATGATAATTAGTAATGATAATAT